GACTCGGGAGTAAGGCTGCAAGGCGATGGCCACTTTTATCCCATAAGGGATAAAAGCCAGCCTCAGAGGTGGGGTTCTTTGCAGGAAGCAAAGAAGTTTTTGAGCTTCAAGTCTTGTGGAAGTTCGGACAATCCTGGTTTGTGTTTAGAGACTTTTGGTTTTGATTATTTCCTTGCAATTTAATCTAGTATTCTTGGCAGCCTTGCACAACCTTGGCAAGGCTTGTTCTTATCTGGGACAATTAGTTTTAATAGTGTTTTTACTGTGAATGAATGGAATTCACAGAGAAGCATTAAAAAGGTTTTGTTTTTATCTTTGTTTGGTTTTTGTTTGCTTAGAATGAGGCTTGGGTCAGAATATGTTGTTCAAAGAAGACATGGTTGTGAATGTGAGGCAGAATATAAAACTTATGTTCATTTGATGATGTAAATTCAGATTTATTGAATTGGTCAGGTCACCTGCAAGAAGGCGACTGTTGGCCTTCTCCCCATATTCTCCTAGCTCTGATCTTATCTCCTCCTCCTTGTTATTATGCATGTGAAAGAAGATGATGGAATTGCTTGTACTGGGTTGGGTAAGTGGTATCTGTGGCCAAAAAGGTGGTGCATGGCCCACTTCTCCACTCTATCTCACCCCAAGGTCTCCCAAATGTGATGGCCAGCAAAATTTTGAGCTTTAGTTTTCCAGTTCTTATGTTAATCATAGAGTTGGCTATTATGGTTCAACATAAAAAGCAATCTGATGTTATCTGCTAAAGTTGGAAAAAAAGAGAAAAAATATCTCTAAAAACTCTACATGAAAAGTCTGAGTTATTGGGTTGCCGAAGGATGCATCTCTGCCTCATTTGCAGGATATCCTATAGGTCTTGAAACAAATCATTTGAGCCTAAATCTCCTATACGGCTCAATTCCTGTGCAAGCTTCTGGTCCAATAAATCCTGTTAATATGCAGGAATCTAAGTGCCTGTAACTTAGGAACTGAAGATCACCTGTTGCTAAGCATCTACCTCCTCTATACGTTGCTAAGCAGCTGGTAATGCAGCTTCATTTGCTCTTCTCATGCCTTCAATTCACAGACTACTCAAAAACCTTGAGACTCCCAATTACTAGGATACAATAAAGACAGAAGTGCTACCATCCCATTTACAGTTTCTTTTTCTATTTCCCTTGGTTTTAAAAAAGCTAACACCAGATGTTCAAGTTTAGCGTTAACTCAGGAGCTTAAATGGACTTTGGTGGGTCATGCAATGTGGATCTTCTGCAGTGCCTTTGGAAATATGAATGAAAATCTAAGGATATCTATGCTTCTCAAATCTATATTCCCTTCCTGCTTGCAGTCATTCTACAAGCATGCTCAATTATTATTTCATAAATTGTATTAGTATAAATTATTAGAGGTTATCTTTAAATTTATAAGATTCCAACTTGGAATAATCATAAGATAATGAATCAAAAACATAACACCCCATTATTACATTTTATAGGAAAAAGTGAAGGAAGGGAAGCAGAATTTGACTCTCTCTATTCTAATAAAATTTGCACCCTGTGGGGAAATGGATTACCAAATCAGTTTTGGAGTTTCAAACTCAAGCCTAAGAAAGAATATCAGATTCATATGCATCATACACAGGATAACAATTTGAATGAAATATTTCTGGCCTCCATGAATGATTTTTTTAAAAACAATTACTAGAGCAATTATCCCTGCAAGCCACTTTTTACAATGTCCTTTGCAAATTAAGTCATCAATTTCAGACATAAAAAATGACTAGGAGAAAAGATGAATAAAACAAGCCAAATGTAAATAATAAAAATACATTTTATACTGATAATAAACCATGCCACATCCATCTTATTAATGTCCTGAATGATTACAGGAAATTTTCATTTTAAATACGCGGATATTTCTTTGGGAAGACTGAAATATACAGCACACTGCATGAGGCCTGGTTTGTTCTCTGTTAGAGCTGCAAATGCAGGGATTTGACAGTTGCTGAAGTTAAGACCATCGACTGAGTCTTATTCCTCTGAATAGCCCTTCTCCATCTGGTGTTCCAGAGAGAGGCTCTGAAGCCAACTACAAAGAAAATTACTGGTATTGATTGGTGCCTGGATGGTTCCTGTTTTAATCATGTTTTTTGACCATTATTGTTGAAAATACACAACAAATGAATCACTCCATTTCTTGGCACAATGTGGATGTTCAATTTTATTTTTTGCAATTGTTCGTATTAGGATTTCTTTTGGTAGGCTTTAATATTATATTGTATATTAGTGTATATAGAGGGGCACTCCTGGTTTAGTAATTGCCTCATTTAGCAGTTATAATAATGAAAAAAAAATCTTATGAAGTATCTTTGCATTTACCTCCTGTGTAGGTCTATAAAGAAAAGGACCAATGGAATAAGACCATAAGTGCAGCTTCACTTAGCAACTGCTTTGCTTAACAGCCAAGTTGCCAATCCCAATTGTGGTTACTAAACAAGGACAACCTGTACTTGGAATAGAATAGAATAGAATAGAATAGAATAGAAGAGTTGGAAGGGACCTTGGAGGTCTTCTAGTCCAACCCCCTACTTAGGCAGGAAACTCTATACTACTTCAAACAAATGGTTATCCAATATCTTTTTAAAAACTTCCAGTGTTGGAGGATTCACACCTTCTGGAGGCAAGTTGTTCCACTGTTTAATTGTTCTAACTGTCAGGAAATTTCTCCCCAGTTCTAGGTTGCTTCTCTCCTTGATTAATTTCCACCCACTGCTTCTTGTTCTATCCTCAGGTGCTTTGGAGAATAGTTTGATTCCCTCTTCTTTGTGGTAACCCCTGAGATATCGGAACACTACTATCATGTCACTTAATTTTACAATATTTATTAATATTATTTGTATTACATTTAAATGTTGCTCTATAATTGAATGGGCACGTAATGCTACATTAAATATGTTTCTGATTCACTAGCTGTTCCAAGCCCAGATCCAAACTGAATCGAAAGACAGCAAGATTTTAGTTCTACTCTTGTTCTAGCAAGATCCTGAGATTCAAAGTACAGAGATTTGATTTTAGAAATGATCGCACAATGTAATGGGATAACATCAAAGTGCCTGACCATTTGTCCATATGTGGAAGAAAATCAACAGAGAATCTCTTTGTTAGAAATTCTGGGGAAACAATCTATGGGGTGAAAGAACTAAATCCTTTTCTCTGGGTTTTGTATACTTTGGCCTACCTTGGTGCAGTGCTTGGTATACCCTGTCAGTAGTAATTATCTTCTGTCATCTTCCTCTTCCCATTTGTATGGGAGAAATTGGGATCCAGCAGAACAAGTACTTATTAACATAACAAGTAACAACAACAAAAGGAAATAGACTCTGAAGCCAATTGTTGAACCTGTAGCTTTTGGAAAATATGATTAGACAAAACAAAATGCCTTCCTTTGGTTAATTAGTTCAATAACCCAAAGTTTTATTAATTTTATTTAAAGAGAAAAAAAATATCCTTTTAAACCTTATGTTGTCATGAGTAAGACGAACAACTGCAATTGTACTGGCAATGGACACACCATTGGAAGAGCTAAAGGACCAGGTTGGGACAGATTGTCTTGGAGAAAATTTATCTTTGCAAGAGTTGACACTTGATGGCACATAGTCATCAGTCATTCTGTCAGTCACATGCAAATGGCAATAACATAGAAAAGAAAGCACTGAAAATATCTAAAACAGGGATAACATACACTTGGTCAAATTCAAGGAGGGCAGGATCTGCTGCTGAAAGAGCTCAAGAAATAATGGATATGTATATAAACTTGCACAAATACAACTCAGATACAATAACTATCAAATATTTTAACCAGTACTATTAAAGTAAATCAGATATCTAAATGCAGAATCTTGGGTACAAACATTGCTTGTAAATCAATAAATCAGAAATGACCGATTCCTGTCAGATTTTCCTGGATAATCCCTAAATCAGGTTAACTGCAAACTTAATTCAGAGTCTTAAGAGAACTTTTCATCATGATAGTTTTTTCACTGTAATCTTTGTTTCCTAGGTAATTGTTCCCTGACACAGATTTCCTTGTTCGTTTACTCTGGATCCCTTCCTAAAGATCCCAGCTGTTCTTCTCTGTCTCTGCCTGGAGCTCTTCTTCCTATCTCCGCGTCTCCGCCTCCAGGCTTAGATTCTGAAAGGACTTTGTTGTCTTATCGGAAAAGGAAGGGCAAGGGATGTGTATGTAGACCAGAGCAGATACCCATTGTCCTTCTGAATGATGTTAATTGAAACCCAGATAAGCGGTATGTGGTTTTCCTGCCTAGGGTGCAATTATCTGCCCTGTGATTGTTTGGTGGTAATACAACAATTTCATCTACTGAATTTATGGTAGATTACAAATGAGAAAAAATTGTTTGTGGCTTTTGCTTTTTGTTTTCTTTTTTTTACTAGATGACATTGCTAGATATAGAACCAACATTTTGGTTACAGATGTTACTTTCCTTTCCTTAGTTTTGTTTTTTGAGGTCAGATGACAGGCAATTGTTTTGGAAAATAAACCATTCAAAGCTCAGATGACATTCTATCAGCTATTTTCTGTCAGTTTGTCTGTCTGCCTGCCTATCTAAAATCACGCCTTTATTATTCTTATAAACAACTCAAGATGGTGAACATATCTAATATTCTTTCCTTCTCCTATTTTCCTCACAACACCAGCTCTGTGAAGTGAATTGGGCTAAGAGAGAGGGACTGGCTCGAGATCACCCAGCTGGCTTTCATAGCTATGGTGGGACTAGAACTCACCATCTACTGGTTTCTAGCCTGGTGCCTTAATCATGTCAGCTTTGTGGACTCTATCCCTGCCTGATATGTCTCAACATGGTGGCAGCAATGACTGTTCAAGGACTAACGATCTTGTCTCATCTGAGAAAGCTAAAGATAAAACATTATAACTTGATGAGATGGTAGCATTTCCAAACACATATATCATGAACAAGCAATGAAAGCAAATACCTGCTCTGGTTTCAGTCCAGGAGGGACCCATGCGTATTCTTCCAAGGCACAGCCAGAATCATCATCAGAAGTTGAATTCCTCTGGAAGTCAAACATCAGCTTGGTCACTGTCTTCTCCATTTCTAAAGGCATCACTGTTTCAAAGTGTTCTGACTGTGGACACTTACAGTGGCGGCAAATTTTTCTGGGGATATGAAGTAAAAAGCCAACAGTTATCCTCTATTTAAGGATGTATGAAATAGAGATTAGAATGCTTGGGAGTATAAATATCAATGAAGGTCATCTGGCATCCAAAAGCCATGTCTCCATAGTTTTAGTAAAGAAAAGGACCAGGGGAGACATGATAGCAGTCTTCCAATATTTGAGGGGCTGCCACAGAGAGGAGGGGGGTCAAGCTATTTTCCAAAGTGCCTGTAGGCCAGACAAGGAATAAGGGATGGAAACTGAACAAGGAGAGATTTAACCTGGAAATAAGGAGAAAGTTTCTGACAATGAGAACAATCAACCAATGGAACACCTTGCCCTCAGAAGTTGTGGGAGCGCCATCACTGGAGACTTTCAAGAAGAGATTGGACTGCCATCTGTCAGAAATGGTGTAGGGTCTCCCGCTTGGGCAGGGAGTTGGACTAGATGATCTACAAGGTCCCTTTCAACTCTGATTATCTGTTATTTTACAATTATATAAACAAAATTATGAAATCACACCTACTGAAAATTATGAATTCACACCTATCTAATCACTTTCCTGAAAGAAACTGATGGGTTTGGCTAATAGTTGAACATAAGATTATCAAAATACAATTATGTGTTGAGAACACATATAGTGGCTTTCTTTTCAATGTAAATAATTTCACATATTAACTTTACTCTGAAAGCTCATCTTTTGAATTACATATCCCTGGTTTGGCAAGTACAAGGGAACAATGTATAATGCATATTTTGTGATCACAGAAACATTGATACATGCATTTTTCCTCAATTATACAGCTGTCTAAAGAAATCTCTTCCCTTTCTATATCTGAACATACAATGTACCATCAGGGATCCCATCTGAAGGACTGTTTGGAAATCTGGTTATTTTTTTCTTTGAGCTGGCTTAAATATAATAGTTAATTATATCCATGCCACGTTATTATGCATTATGACTCTCTCTCTCTTTCTCTCCCCCTTTCTCTCACATATACACACACACAAACACACACAATAAGTTTTGTTTCATACATAACAGATGTATGTTTTTGCAGAATTTGTTCTTCCTTTCTTCCCCTTCCTTCATGAGTCAGTGTGAAGGCTCTGAATGGCTCACAATTCCTATTCCGGTAAGTAACATTAAATAATACAAAAACCCAACCCAACTCATTGCTATCAATCAATAGCACCAATATTCTTGGCATAGAATCATGATTTCATTCTTGTCCCCAAAAGCCCTCCATAAGAGCTAGGTCTTGACTACTCTTTGGATGTACAGTAGGCAGAGGGCATTTAATTTATTTTTGTGTGCCAGTTTCAAAAGAAAATGGAAATGAAAACAGCAACTGAGGAACACTGGTGCAAACTAATTTGTACTAACATAACTTGAGATATTATATCTGCTGTGGTCACTGTGCTATCTATATCCATGGGAAATGGTTATTGGATGGAGGTGCCTTGGATAAAGCAGCTGTCAGCAATAACCCTGCATGGGATAAGTGAAATGCAATGTCTACATATAAACAACAACCTGTCCTTGACAAAATGCCAGAGCCCCAAAGCAGTTTTCTAAACCCAAGCATAATTCTTTCATTTGGAAAGGAGGGGGGGAAAACATACAGCGAGTTCCAGACCACCCATAAAGAACTGGCGGTAAGGATTTAAGGATCAAATGCATTTGATAGACGATCTGGGATACACCTCTTCATTTTCCCTCCTTTGACAGCACCCATAAATATGCCAAGAGTGCCAGATCATCAGCACATCCAGTTCAGCAAGCAGAAAGGCTGTCATATACAGTATGCAAAATGCCAATGTAAAGAGAAACTTCAGAGCAGCAAATTCCTTAACAATGACAGAACATCATAGACAGGGTTGTGCTAAATAAAGGCAGTGATGAAAGTTGCTCACTAGCAACTGCTATAAGATTATCACAAGCCTGCTTTTCAGAGAACAAGGCTAAAGCTCAGTAGATATCTCCTACATATGATGTTCCTAAATTTGATCTCAAGTGAAGGTAAATAAAACTGCCTTGTTCAACAAGGATCTCTCTTCATAATTCATTTCCTTTCGGCTGGTTTTTCTTATTCCCTTCTCAGAAGGCCATTTCATGGACAGTAACATTTCCTGTGGAAAGGAAATATCTGATCAGACTCCGAACAAGTAGAGGAAAGCCTAGTCTTGAAACTGTGATGGTTGACCTAGTCAATGAAACTGCAGTGACCTAGGACAGAAAAAAACCTTAAGGGTGCCAGTCAAAATGAATCTCCTAATCTGTCCTAATCTATTCTAAATCCCGCTAGCCATATTCTACAATATTTGTCTCCTTCAAGATAGCCTTGTCTAACCAGGTGCCCTCTAACCTTGGAACCTTGATGATACAGATATGCTATTTGGAGTTGTTTTTCAGCAAATCTGCAGGCGCCAGACTCTCCATCCTTTAGTTAGGAATTCTTGGTTGAGCTGTTGGTTGACTTTGATGGAAGGAAGGATGAGACTTTGCATACCTTAGTAGATATCAAATATTGAATGAACAGATACAGAGCTGAGCTTGTCAACAATGAATCTGAAAATGGCCATGTGATCCTAAATGGATCAGGGGCTAAATATGAACTCTCAGTGTAATGAAGCAAAGAACAGAAGAAACATGGTGCCTAGATTATGGGAAGTACTTAAGATGGGCTTGGAATGTATTAGTTCTGGAAAGGACACTTTAAAAGGGAGTTTGTACTGGGTTCAGAAGGAAAGTCCCAGGTTGGAAAAGAGTTCACAAACCATGTTGTCTGAAGAAAGATTAAAGGAGCTGGTTATATTTACTTCTGGAAAGGGAAGACTAAGAATAGTGATCCACTAAATGTATGGAGATTCTCAATTATCCAGGTCATGGTTATTTCAAAGGTGCTTCTTCCCAACTGGACTTTCTTGGGTTTTTTCCCCCCTATGAAAACATTTTATTTCTCATCCCAGAAGCTTCTTCAGCTCAGAAGTAAAGAAGCTTCTGGGATGAGGAGTTAAACAATGGAGGGAAAAAAATCTAATAATCTGAAAGGCTTTTCTGTGCAAAAAGAGGTAGGGATCTGCCCCTCTAAAGCCAAGGTCACAGCATAGCTGAATGGGTTGAAATTAAAAGAAAGATCCTTTTGATTCATATACGCTATATATTCTTTGATTAAACAATTTACCCATCCAATAAATATACAATGAAAAGCAATAATGAGAATCCAATTTCTCTGTCTTAAGAGCTAAAATTGTATCAGCTACCATTTTCAGGGCCAGCTGTAGTATTTTGCAGTTTGAGCCAAAGAAGATTACAATTCCCACTCCTCTGTTTCAATGTGAACTGTATCAAAGGCAAAACAAGAATTTTACTTTTTTCCCAGCAGAACTATCTCCAACCTTGAAAGCAGAACTCTATAATCAGCACAGTTTTTCATGACATTCAACACTGGGAAAACTGAGGCAGCTGTTTTACCCTGCCCAAGATTAGGCTGGTGCTAACATTCTTGAAATTAATTAAATTGCTGCAGTCTAAAAATATACTCCGTGTCCTTTTTTTTAAAATGGAACATTTGGGGTATCTGAACTCGATGAATATGTTTGGGCAAGTCACAAAGAGCTGATCATAAAATAATTTGCAGATGTTCCTAAATCCCTTTAAAATAATAATACATTAATCAAAATCTTTCTAGGTTATATTGGAGGGATTGTATTCACATTAGTTAGAATTTATCTCTGGTGGCAAAGTTGGTTTAGTTATTAAGTTGGATCCACACTCTTGGTCTTTTTGAACGAATTAGGAAAAAGGTATAATTAATCATGCTGTTTATCTTGTTTTATTTTGATCATTTGTATGCCAAGGAAAGTTTTTTTAAAAAGAAGGGAAAAGCACTTCAGAGGTACACTAAAATACCAAAAATAAAAGCCAAAGAATACAGGCAGTCCTACCTGTAACAGAGCCTACCCACCATGGTCATAACTTGTGATGGTCATAAAGCAGATCTTTATGACTTTAGGACATTACCATCGGCCGTAAACATTTATTTTACTTATTTATTTTTATTTGTCAAAAGCTTACAATATAATAGAAACAAGAATAAACAAAAGTTTAAGTACAAGAAATAGGAACTAATAATTGGGGACAATAGGACAGGGACGGTAGGCATGATTGTGTGCTTATGCACGCCCCTTACAGACCTCTTAGGAATGGGGTGAGATCAACGGTTAGTTTGAGGGTAAAGGAGTGGAGGTTTGAGCAGGTGACAACAGAATCAGGCAGTGAGTTCCAGACATTCCAACATGGCCTGGTTGCCAAGTGCCCAAAATAGGATCACATGACTGAGAGCACAACTGTCTGTCAGAACTTTGAATCTGAGTTGTAAGGACTAAGTAGGTCCATCAGAACTTCAAATGGTCACTAAGGGACTGGTTGTAAGCCAAGGACTGCCTGTAGAGATGTTTGAGCTCAGAAACCTCCTTTGCATCGTTGTCTCTTGTGTTAGACAGGACAAATATCAGCAACTTTCTTTAAATTAGAAGAGACAGTGCCGACCAAATCTCTGCAGGAAGGGAATGTGGGTGTGACCATGAAAAGCTTGCATCTAAGGTGCCATTAGAAGGCAATCTCTTAAGAATGCTTCCTGGAGGAAGTTGACCGTATTCAAGGTGATCAGAAGGGAAGACAGGGAGAAGGTGGTCTTTTAAATAACCAGGTCTGGAGCCATAAAGGCCTTAAATGTAACAACTACTACCTTGCATCACATTCATGATATAATTGGCAACCAGTACAGTTCCCAAAGCAATTGAATCACTCAGGTATACTGGGATTTACCCATCACTTCCCAGGCTGCCGTATTCTGTACCAATTGTATCTTCTGAAGGTTCTTCAGGTACAGTTCCATGTAGGGTCATTAAAGTAATTAATCAAAATGGAAGATAGCCAAGGCATGAATTACTGTGAAAAATGCCTCCCAATCCAGGAATGAAGCAAAAATCAGGTCTAAGAGGTGATCTCT